ACCCATCTTAATCTATCCAATCGATTTGATTGACACCGTTTAAGATATAATTTTTTTTAGGGGGCGTTAGATAAGCATTTAAACTATTATTTAAAGTGGTATTAATTTGATAATATATAAAAAAATCAGGTATCGATCGATGTAATTAATGTTCATTTTAATTTAATATATCCAATGTCATGAAAAATTTGTTAGCTTTTGTCTTCTTTTTTTTAAATACACCAAAATTATATTGACATTTGAAAAGTTACGAAAGAAAGACAGAAAATATGGTGCTAATTCAGATTTAAGTAGCTTTAAAAAGGTTATGGGATACATTACATCGAAACTACTATAATCTGATAAAGGCTTAAAGCACCTTATCAAGAATGAGTACCTGTCTTGAAATGAAATAATTTAAATTAGAAAACAGTTGCACAAAAAGTTTGTTCCTAAATCATTATCTTTTGTTTTGAAATTATGTTATTTTTCCTTTTAATCCCTCTCTTTCTTTTTGTTCTCCCTCTTACAATTTTTTCAAGACATTATCCATTAGCTGGATAACACATATTAGAAGGGAAAACATATTTTTATTTTTCTAATAGCTTTAGGAAAGTACTACTAAAATTATTGGTACTTTTCAGTTCCTACTTCCTATCCACTTGCTCTAAATTTGAAGGGAAGAACGTACAAAGACTAATCTTATAATCTCCCTTTTCATTTCAAAAAACTTGTCTCACTTTAATCGGTACCTTTGTTAATGCGGAACTTTAGTCCGCTATCAAAAATTATAGATTATAAAAAGTTGATATATGATGCAAACTATACATTAATATGATTATGTCAATTACCCGCATGATAATGTTTAATCATATATTCTTATGTATAAAGCACAATTGAGGTTAAATGGTGTATTTGAATAGTGCAAGTTAGATTAAGGTTTTATTTTGGAACGAAGAGATTGATAGAGTATAAACCATATTCCCGCGCTTCAACCATAGCTTTTGGTTGAGTTGGTCATGTAACATGCCCCCCCTCCACTTTCAAGTGGAATATTAAGCGTTGGGTATGAGGAGGGTATATGTTGCATCTCGTATGAGGATGCATGATAAAGTATATATAAAACATATTCATTGGAATTCAACCATACTGGTGCACTTAAAATACAAAATAAAAACGGCTGATTTAAGAAAGTGATGCTCTTAATAACACAAAAGGAATTTATTGGAATTATATATGGAGGCAAATATAATAAGACCTCACACAAGAACTTTTTTTTATCTTTTCATTACTAGTAAATTACAATTCACAATTAAATATTAATGTGTGAGACATATTAAAATAAAGGAAAAATTATTTGGAAAAATCCCACATTTGGGGCGTCCGCTATAAATAATCTCACCTTTGGGTAATAATCAGACATTTAAACCCAATCCGCTCAAATTGGTCCTAATTGGTCATGTAACGTAACTTGTTATAACAAGTCACTTAACAAGTGGCGGCCTGTGATTAGTAAAAAAAAAAAGATTTTTCTATAAAAAAAATTAAAATTTTATAAAGAAAAAAAAAACAATTAAGTATTAAAAAACCACCCCCGACTAGTGGCTACCCAAGCCACCCTCTCGACACCTGACTCCCCAGCCTCGCATTATCTCCGACCACTAAGATCCTAACCCCATCGTCGACGCTAACGCCGTGCCCGACTCTCTTCCCCCACCCACCAACTAACCTCCAAATCCCTTCCCCGTCCTAGTGACCTCTGAACACCATTAGTGATTGATATCACCATTAGTGAGATTAAAGGTTGATTTCCTTTTTAAAAAAATATAGGGAGAATGGTTTTTCAAAGGCCATGGATATAATAGAGTTATGAGAAAAGAGAATGTTGGAAAGCTTGATTATATTGATGAATATACACGAGTATATATAGTACAAGATTAGAACATTGAACATACCAAACTATGACTAGATACAATATGTGACTAGGTACGTTAGCTAATTATAAAGGATATACTTTGACTATCAAAATTAAGGAGTAAATCAGGGGATTTAAATATTCTAAACAATAACTAATAATGATAATGATGATATAATCATCTTTATCCTTTATAGAATATGGCAAAAAAATTAGCTATTGAAATTGGAATCAATCTTGTATTTCCTCAAAGATGTATAATACGTAGAAAAAGACAATTTGATGAAATAGATGGTAGTGATGAAACACTATTATCTCCTGAGGAATCATTTAGAATCCAATATTTTATATACATTGTGGATCAAACTATTAAATCATTGGAAAAAAGGTTTGAACAATACGAATCGTATGAGAATATCTTTGGCTTTTTGTTCAATTCTGATAAGTTGCATTCAATGGATGATGCCAAACTTTTATCTTCTTGTTTTAATTTTTAAAATGCTCTTAAGAAAGTTGAGGTTTCTGATGTTGATGGAGAGGATTGATTTATTGAGTTAACATGGTTTAGAGAGTTTTTACCTGAGGAGAAAATGAGAGCAATTGATTTATTGAAATTTTTAAACAATATACTTGCTTCCCAAATGCAACAATTGCATATAAGATATTACCAACAATTCCTATTACTGTTGCTTCTGCGGAACGGAGTTTTTCAAAGTTGAAGTTGCTGAAGTCGTACTTAAGGACGACAATGTCACAAGAAAGATTAACTGGGCTCGCTTTGATGGCTATTGAATATGATCTTTTAGATGCATGAAGTCGATATACAGAATGTCATCGATCATTTTGCTACAAAACATGCAAGAAGAGCTGCTCTTTTTAAGTGATTTCTAGGAATTTTTAGGATTTCACTTTACTTTTGACGAATTTTCTAATGTAATGAATTTTTTTATCAAATAAAAATTAGGTATTAAGTTTACCAAGTAGAAGGCCCCATTTTGAAAAGTTGAACAGGACCCCAAAAATAATTTGCAATTTTAGCCCCGGCACTAAATATGTGGATTGTATATTCATATTGTTATAAGGGGATTAACATCAAGTACAAGAACTATTTGTCCATACAAAGAGATTTGTGATCAAAGTAATTCTCTACATTCAAACTAGTTTGACTATATATAGGTTCATGTATGTAAATTTCTGGTTGGCGACATCAAATACAAGTTTTTTAACCTGTTTTTGCAGATCATTTTCTATTTTAACGTAATAAAAATTAATGCTACTATAAAGTTGACGTGCTTAGAAATAATAAAAAGTTTGACATAATAAAAGCAAATGGCCAAAAGGAAGACCTAAATTTACAAGGTAGCCAATAAGCCGCCATAGAAGAATTCAAGCGGCTTATGATGTCAATTCCGCTTCCTCAACGACTCTTGCAAGAATGTGGTCGTATGTATGTTATGCATGTACTCCATATTATTTTTGTCTGTAAAAGTTATTAACATATTTTGTAAGACAATCATTATCCAAATAAGAATAACTTTTATAGGTGCAAGGGCAATACTAATTTTGTATTTTCTCTTACATACTCCCTTTAATCTTGCGTTATACTTAGAGCTGTTGATTTCTAACCCAAATTGTTAAGCCTGATTGTTTCGAACTAAACTATTAGAAACCCGCTTATGAAAATCGAAAACTGACCAGACCCAATTTTTTTCCAACCCGAAATTGCACTGAATCAAATTTGTGCAAACCGTTAATAATCTGACCCGTTATCAAGTCAAACCATTAGAACCCAAAACCGAAAACAACCCAAACCAATTACATCCAACCCGATAATAGTAACCCGACATATTTTAAATCGAATATTGTTAAAACTCGGTAAAAATACGATAAACATTAATCGTTCCAATCCGTAATCCATTATGACCGAACCGTTTATAACTTGTATCCCGTTAAGACCGAACCGTTTTCAACCCATAACCCGTTGAGATCGAACCGTCTACAAGTTACAACCCGTAACCCATTGAGACCGAACCAATTACATACAACCTGTAACCCATTATTATTGAGCTGGCCGTTTACAACTCGTAACCCAATATGTTTATGATCTAATCCATTCAATTTCAACCTCCTACTTGATAAAACCAACTTATTTAAGACTTAATTCTTATACTTGATTATAATCTGATCCGTTCCCACCCATTATCTGATTAACCCGACTTGATAATGATCCGATTTGATTTTAACCTGATATGATTGAGCTGAAACCCGCTTCAAATTGGGTAAAACTGTGTTTCAAACCGACCCAGTTTAATCTAAACCGATTATGACCTGAGCTAATAATGACCCGACCCAATTTCACCCGTTCTTTTTGGTATCGAAAACTGTTTGCAAACCGACCCAATTTAACCCAAACCAATTACATCCCGACCCAATTACGACCCGAACTATATTGAACCAAAATCCATTTTTAATTGGCTAAATCTGTTTTCAAACCGACCCAATTAAACCTAAATTGATTATAACCCGAACCGATTACAACCTGACCCTATTAGGACCTAACCCAAATAAAAACCGCAATAAAAAATAAAAAAAAAAAAAAAAGAAAAAAAAAGAAAGAAAAGAAAGAAAAACCAAACTGACCTGATAATTTTCAAAACCGACCTGCTATCATTTCAACCCAATAAACCGACCCGTTACATAACTCGAAACCAATAAATTCAACCCGAAACTAAATTGTTTACTCGAATTGACACCCCTAGTTATACTACATTGTGGCCTAAACTAATATAAACTGGTCAATCCCCTTGTTCAAAATAGATATATAGTATATACTTCAAATTTATACTTCCTCTATTATCTTTAATTTACTTCATATTATGGACTCAACTAAACATATTTTTATCGTATATATCCCCCAGTCGACACCTCTAAATATACTCAAAATAACTACAAAAACTTTATCAAGAATTCAAGATTGGCAAATACTGGACCTTATTTAGCCCCAACTCCCCCAGGGCCCCAAGTGAAAGCTGCAAAGACTATTGATTTAGTTTGACCAATACTTCAAATTATGGACTTGGCTTCCTAAGCTTAAATTCATTGCTTGAAATATACGGAGTATAATGAATCTTTACCATACATCACAGCTTAGCTCATAATCTATTACGAGTAATACATAAAGCAGTTGGACTACCATACAAGAAGTTTCAAGTAATAGATATCATCCATGATAGTTGAAAAAGTCATCAAATCAATGCTTGACTTATTAGAAAATAAGAGTCATCATCACTCCAATTCCACACCGAGTGATGATTGACTAAGTGAATTATTAGTTGGCTAATCTCACGTCTTTTTAACAACTTATCTCTTGAAACACAGACTAGCTTGCAGCTTGCTTGCTCTGCAACATTGCAAAAATCAAGCAAATTTCTCTCTTTATCTTTACATGGATTATACACAGCTACCTCTTCACAAATTTTGTTTCGAGTCGATGTCTAGATGATCAAAAATCTTTACTTCTTGAATTCAAAAACAATCTTACCTTCGCCCCTGAAGCTTCAGACAAGCTTGTGGGTTGGAACAAAAACATAGACTGTTGTAGCTGGAGAGGCGTCAAATGCGACAACTCCAATGGTCAAGTCATTGGCCTGGATTTGAGTGGAAAAGATATCATCGGCGGCATCAACAACTCAAGTAGTTTGTTTTCTCTTCAGTTCCTCCGAAGTTTGAACTTGGCGAATAACTATGATTTGCTAGGTGAAATACCATCAACAATTGGGAAACTGTCTAGCCTAACTTACCTCAATTTATCCGAGGTAGGCTTCAGCGGACAAGTACCCATTGGAATTTCGCAACTTGTCAAATTAGTTGTTCTTGATGTTTCACAACCAGTGGCGGATCCATGTTGACGCCCGGGGGGCACGTGCTACCCCCACCAAAAAAAAAAAAAAAATGCTGGAAAAGCGTCTTTTATATATGTATATATATATATATATTATAATCTGCAATGATATTAAGTGTCTCCAACATTGCTTCAGTAGTAAGGAAGTTGGGTGAGTGAATTATGTGTCTTAAAGAAGTTCAGGGTTCGAGACCCCATAGCATCATTTTATTTATTTATTTATTTTTTGGCTTTGAACCCAAATGAATTTCCACTTTCCTCCTATTTAATTAACAAAAGGATAAGCTATTACTATCTTTTCATGATAAATTTCTTTTTTCCGTTTTCACACTTTTTATAAACAGTCCTTATTAATATGAAATACTCTCTCTGTTATATTTTATTCAGTCTTCTCATTTTCATTACATAATATTTATTGCATTTATTTGGCCATTATTAAATCTTGTTTATAATCGTGTGAAAATTTACACTGAAATAAATATAAAAAATCATACTCCAACTGTGTTTAAATAAATGAAACGTTTTGACTTTTTGTACAATTCATCTAATTCACTTTAGCTAATATTCGTGATTTATACATAACAATAAATATAGTCATGTGGTTACTTGTTGGAATCGTCATATTTATTACTATAACATTCAATTGTCTTAAAGAAGTTCAGGGTTCGAGACCCCATAGCATCATTTTATTTTTATTTTTTTTTTTTTTTTTTTTTGGCTTTGAACCCAAATGAATTTCCACTTTCCTCCTATTTAATTAACAAAAGGATAAGCTATTACTATCTTTTCATGATAAATTTTTTTTTTTCCGTTTTCACACTTTTTATAAACAGTCCTTATTAATATGAAATACTCTCTCTGTTATATTTTATTCAGTCTTCTCATTTTCATTACATAATATTTATTGCATTTATTTGGCCATTATTAAATCTTGTTTATAATCGTGTGAAAATTTACACTGAAATAAATATAAAAAATCATACTCCAACTGTGTTTAAATAAATGAAACGTTTTGACTTTTTGTACAATTCATCTAATTCACTTTAGCTAATATTTGTGATTTATACATAACAATAAATATAGTCATGTGGTTACTTGTTGGAATCGTCATATTTATTACTATAACATTCAATTGTTATAAGTTTAATTATTAAAGATATATATTTTCAGTCAAAGTTTTACATTAGCATATGTGCTATATGTGCACAAGGAAAAATTTATACCAAAGTTTTTGGTATAAATTCATATGCAACTTTGACAAAATAAAAAATAAATAGGTGGAAAGTTTGTAATAGTATAATCGATATCTACAATATAATTGAATTATTTGTAAAAAAATAAAAATAATAAAAAAAAAACCTTGTCAATATAAATGTTTGAATTTGATTGTTAATTATTATACGACTACACAACACATTATATAAATTATCGCGACTGGGAGGAAGTTCCGAAAGAAGTTATTGATGACCTCTATAAATTCATTACGGTAAGATTAAAGGCTTTTTTATTACTTCCATGATCATGAGTTAGTTGCAGAATTGGAGAATACTTTGTTCTGTTGTTTGTAGACTGTGAATTGAAGAATCTGGTAGGGTTGGATTTCTTTTTTTTTTTTGTTTTTCCCCATGAAATTCCCATATCTTCTTAATGCTAACACATTGATTTAAACTTTGTGCCTTTTTAGTGAAATTTTAAAAAAATCTGGTTCATTTCAATGCCATTGGCACCATTGAGACTGACCGCATGTAATGACTGGTAGCTAATAGCCATTGTGATGTTCTTTCTTAAAGAATCAATCATTATCACAGGAATGGTGCCCAAGTGGATGTGGGGAATTTTATCTGGAGGAGATATCACATTAAACCTTTCATCCAACCACTTTGTAGGAATACACCCACCTCGAACACTCTCAAACACTTCAAAGTCATCATTCTTTTCCGTCACTACCTTAACCCTTGACCTTCATTCCAATAATCTTCAAGTGAATGGGAATTTTTTGCAAGGACAGATACCTGGATCACTTGCCAACTGCAAAGCATTACAGGTTTTAGATTTGGGGAACAATAGATTATATGACACCCTTCCTTGCCACTTGGAAAGCTTGTCCGACTTAAAAGTTCTCGTCCTTAGATCCAACAACTTCCATGGAACAATGGTGTGCCTAGAGAGCCCCTCAGTTTGGCCACAGCTTCAAATTGTGGATTTAGCTTCCAATCATTTTAATAGTGGACTAACAGCACCGATGATTCTTAAGTGGACATCAATGATGGCTAGCGCAACTAAAGAGCAAACAGAACCAGGCTATGTGCAAAGTAATGTATCCTCTACATACTATCAAAATTCTGTGACAATCAACCTCAAAGGTCATTCCTATGAGTTGCAGTACATCCTGATAACTTTCACAAGCATTGACTTTTCGAGCAATGCTTTCCATGGAGAGCTTCCAAGAGAATTGGGAAATCTAAATGCTCTTGTAGTGCTCAACCTTTCTCACAACTCATTTTGGGGCCATATTCCATCATCATTTGGAAATTTGAGTCAGATTGAATCGTTGGATCTCTCTTGCAATGCCTTAACTGGGAAGATACCTGGAGAGCTTGGAAACTTAAATTTCCTTGGCTACCTGAACCTATCCTTCAACAAACTAACAGGAATGATCCCAACAAGCACTCAACTTCAGTCATTCGATGCATCTTCATACGAAGGCAACCAAGCATTGTATGGCCCACCATTGACTGAGCCAGATTCGAGGGCAACTCCACCTACCTCTTCAGAAGGATCATATTGGAGTTCAAAGAACAACATAGAGTGGATGCTGATGGGTGCTGAAGTCGGGTTTCCTGTTGGGATTATGATCTTCATTGGGCCTCTTCTCTACATCAAGAGATATAGAGAATGGTATTGCAAGCATCTTCATAGACTGGTCATGAAAATCCTACGCAAGGAAGATAAGAGTGCAAGGGGAAGGAGGGGAAGAAGAAGGAGAAACCAACAAAGGCAAATGCGCTAGACCCATATAAAGGATGTAACAGTAAAAACATATGGATGGTAAGTATGGTTTTAATTTGTTGGTTTGTGAATTTTAAGTATTTCTCTAAATTTGCTTTGGATTTGTATCTTTGAACTACTAAAAATCATCACAAACTTCTTTGCTATGTTTATCCCTCATTTTAATTTTCTGCTTTGCTTGCCTATGTTATTTTTTATTTAGTTTTTTTTTTTTTTTTTTTTGGTTGAAATTTCTAACATTATTTTATTCAAAAAAAACCAATAGCAGTCGTTACAAAGTCTCCCGTTATTTTGCTAGCTATTACTGATTTACTGTACATGTAAGATATCGAAATATAATTATCATAGGTTGTTAATAATGAATTCAATCCCTCACAAATTTGCATGCCTTTGAATTGATACTGAATTATGGTTTTATTTTTCATGTAGGTATTGCTGGCATGTACGGATTACAGAAATGCATTGTGCCAACTTAGAGTTTATAATTAAGAGCCACTGGTAATAAAATTGTGTAGCATTTAATTAGTATAGTTTGAAAAATTGTAAGGGTTGTATTAGCATTAAGGTACAATACTAAGAAGTATTACTACTTTACTAGTACTGCTGCCACTCATCTTCTATGATATGAATTACTATAAATCTATAATACTATCCCTTAATAAGAGATCTTATAGATAGGTGAAACTATTTATAGCAAAACGGCAAAAGCTTAGATTGTTATCTTTAACTTTTCATTTACTGTATTATAAAGGTACACATCACCTGAAGCATACACAGCCAAGAAGACCAAAAGGCAAGACATATTCGATCATAATTTCAACTTAACAAAACACGCGACGAATATTAAAATACAGCTAACCTGGTTAATTTGACCTAATCCACGTAAAACAACACAGTTTAAGACTCGTGAATCGTGATTAGAGAACATATAGCACCAAAGAAAAAACTAAATCATAAATGTGTCTTTCTTTAACATTGAGCATCCACTTAATACTGATATATTGTCAAAATTACAGGTGATTTCAGTGACCCGTTTGCTAACAACCTGATTAAACTAGCAAAACAGCATTTATACAGCCATCATTCTCAGGGTCATTTGTCACTTGAGCATACTTCCCTGAAATTCGCACAAAAGCACAGTAAGGTGAGAAAAAGAGAAGGAAACACAAGGTAGCAGTCAACAATGAGATTTCAACAAATTATCCTCGTAAAAAAAAAAACTTGAACGAATCACTTACCCCATACTACTTTCCCAGCTGGTGTGACCAGACCAAGTTCACTCACATTGACCTAGAGATTTTACAAAGCAAACGAATTAGCAATGCATTAGCAGTAAGCCAGTGAGCCAACCTAAAAATTATGCACCGAATGAGATGTACCTCAATGATAGTACCCTTGGTCATAACACCAAGTGAACTGTACATTGGACCATTGGGGTTCTTCTTCACTCCGATGATCTCAAGATTAAATGAACATTTTAATTCAGGATGAGTGACATTAGCCTTGGTGAAACGCAATCCTGATGGACGGATAAACCGTTCATACTTTGGTGGTTTCCTAGTGAACGAGGGACCAACAAATGTAGCTTTTGTTATCATTCTTTTCCATTGCTTGGCTGCAAGAGAAAAATTTGTTACACTTAGCTACCAATAGAACTGCTAAACTTCAACATAACAACACTTTGTTACTGCCTTACAAGAAAAAATCCTTCATACACATAGCAACTGGTTAAACCAATAGAATCCATTAAATACATGAAAGCACTTCATAAAACACTTACTCTTCCTTTTCCCGGACCTTATAACTTTAAACATTTCATCTTCAGCAACTGGTCTAACCTGAGGAACAGAAATTTTTAATCAAAATAAGAAGCTACTAAAAATGTAAGTCTACCATCTTTAACCACTCGAGAGCGAGAGAGAGATTGTTAAAAACATTCCTTTTTTCAAATCAAAATAAATAATGGTAATCCCAAACCCCAGTCTGATATTAGGATAGAGAGTAGAATCTAGTAAAGGGAAAAGAGAAGGATATGACAATCAACAATCTAATTATAAAAATAGAAAGGGAAAAAAATCTATAGAGCCTTGAATAGGACATATTGAAACTGGAAAAGTAAAACAAAAAAATAAATATTAAAAAAAAAAGGGGGGGGGGTGGAATCCTGGCTATTACTACAAATAGTTATAGACATAGATATAAAACTGCTTTGGCATTTGCAGGTTCCTTACAGTAGATAAATCTCGGAAGTAGAATATAGAAGATTATTAGACTAACAGACAAGACAAAGTTAAACTTTACCTTGGGTAATGGAACCGCCCATTTTGCATTTTTATCTTTTCTCTTTTGCTTGATTGTGTTGCTCAGAATCTATTTAGCAAGAAAAAAAAATTAGTCAAAAACAAAAATATATAAGAAGTTAAAGCTGAGCATAACACAAACACGTTTTAGCAACAAAGTTAGATTAAGAAATTCCAATACTTCAGTATCAAATAGTTAGTAAATAATCTAAATTAGGAAAAACTTCCTTGAGACCTCTTTCTCAAACCAAAGATTGCTAACAGCTTGTTGACATATAATCTTACAAAATCAAACCCTCGATAGAAAAGAGAACTCGATTCTAAGGACATAATGAATACACAAAAGGTACAACCAACTCTATGTGTTGCATGTTTGCAATGACTGAGCCCTCTTCCAGCATCCAAACATCCAACTTCAAATATAAACACCAAGAAGATTAATATTGGTGTCCAATTACCAAGTATAGGAATTAGCTTTGGCTCCTGTATCTAATACATAGCTAAAGCCTTAAAAGCAGAGTTCTAGGGATTTTCATTCTTCCATATGGTTATGGGTAGGGCTAATAAGGAAAGAATAATATATTAATTCTTATTTATAGAGGTTGAGGTGGAAGAATAGTGGCATTATTCCCTACCTCAGATCCCTGTTGTCTAGGGAACAAATCTCATGGGGCTCTCGTTTAAGAAATTTCCCTTATCTTCCTCCTCTAGTGAATCCTTAAAGGAAACAGACATCATCCATGTCCGTATGACTATAGAAGAAGATTTATTACAGGAACTAATTAAAAATTAATTGAAAATTCTTGACTAAGCAACACCAACTGTTACACTACAACAGGATTCAGCATGCAACAGTAGCAAAAGTTTAAGCTCTATTTATATCTTTTCCAGTTTCCTGGAAATCATGGAAGAAGATCTAGGAGGAAGAACTTCAAGACAATAGCCCAATAGCACTAGTTCTTGAATGTATTCTATGATGGATTCTAGCCCAGACACTTTACCAATTAAAAAAAAAAATCTTAAACTTTTTACAAATTTTCAAGTAAATCGTGAGCAAAAGATCCACTATAGCATATTTGCTTTTAGCCCAGGTTTGGGGAAAACACGTTAGACAAACAAACAATATTTCTAAGGTTCCATGATATTAACTATCGAGTGACCAGGTCATCAGGGTGAAAAATAAGAGTAGAGTTCTCAAACAAGGCATATAGCTCTGACCACAGACTGCTTAACTCAACCTCAATACAAACATTGAATCAAAATATGCAAAGTATTATTAATCATATCAGTTGAAAAAATTTCTGAGAATATTAAGTAGCACTTGTTGAGCAAAGGTACACTGTCTCCAAATGAAATTAGCATAACACACCCACCTTAGCCCTTGCTGTTTGCTCACGATCAAGCAAATATGCAGGAATTGCTCCTTCCTGAACATCTTCATCCACCTTGCGCCTACTTGGTGTTTCATCATGCATCTTAAGTCTGTTGGTTTGCACAAGTTACAAACAATCACAGAAAGAATAGTTATAATTTATAAAACACCTCAACACAGGGAAATAAAAAATACATAAAATATTGAAGAGAGGGGATGTAGGGGCAATCAAAATAATGAGCAAACAATACCCAATACCATTTACATCATCAGATATAACGCAACAAATGGATACTTAAAGAGTAGTTAACTTTCACAAGCTTCATTAATATATTTAGAAAGCTCTCCAATCTCTTAACAAATAAGAATACAATTTAGGTTCCTTCCCCAATATTTGATCCTTCCATATTAAACCAAAAAAAATAGCGGTTAATAAGTCAATTGCCTCCTGGGTTAAGACTAAAGATTAAACAAACCTTTTCCCCCATTTTTAAGCAGTGAATGAAATCAGGATGGCACTGCCAATATAAAACCTTACATGTTCACATTCTCAAATAACCAATTCTCTCAAGACAAACATAAGCATCTTGTACATCTCCGTATAGCCAACAAAATTACCAAAACTCCAGAGCAACAATCTTAGTCCCTAAACTTGATCAAGAAGATCAATTTGGTTAAACACTATTAGCAACAAAAGTATGCCACGGCTACCGCCTATGCCTTCCAATTCCATCCTATCATGATAAAACCCGAAAACACACAACTAAAAGAGTGTATTGTACTCAGTAGTAGTTACCATTAATTCATTAAGGGCATTCACCTGATCATAATTTTACTTAACCAAATAACATAACATCTAACTCATCCTTAATTCACCACTATTTCCGATAACCCCGAGACGACCCGAGCTTGTAAAAATAATATAAAGCTAACTAATAATATACAGAGTACTAAACATTGAGGAATCAAAACATAATTCTTACGTTTTCTTCATCTGAGCTTTCTCTGCGTATCTCTTCTTAGCAAGCATCTTACCCTTAATACCCAAAGTCTGAAATTTTCCATTGAAAACAACATTATCAACATCAAAGCAAATTATAAAATAAATCATTCAAAAAAAAACAAAAATGCAGACGAATTTAGACTAACATTTTGAGCTTTTTTAGAGCGTGTATGGACTTCACGCGCCTCCTTCTTACGCTTACGCTCGAAGTAATCGAGACGGTATCCATTTCTCTTCCTGTGAAGCTCAATGTAATCTCCTTGAGGCTGTCAAAAACAGAAAATCACATCAAATCAATGCAAAATTGAATTTCGCCATTAAACTGATGAAATCGAAGCTCCAAAATTGCAGTAAACATCATCAAATTGTTGGAGGGGAGAGAGAAAAAGACGAACCATGGTTACGAATTTTGCTGATAAACCCTAGAATTCGATTGATTTGGGGAAAAAGGGTTTTTGGTGGCTGCAGTGAGCCAGAGGAGAGAGAATAAAGAAGCGAGTAAAGAGACGTTGCGGAGGTTTAAGTTTAGATCTTTTAGAATGTGGGTCGGGTCGGGTCGGAATTCGTAACCGACTTAGCCCATAAATGTTATGGGCTTCAAATTGTTTTGGTTTGGTTTTGATTGTTTGGATTGTTTATTTTTGAGTGATAAACAATGAATTGGATTATGGATACCTTAATTTAGGTAAGGGTATTTAGGTCGTTGGAATTGGGTATCAAAATTGGGCCATTGTGATCTTATTTAACTTATTTTAGAATAAATAAGTTCAGAAAAAATAAGTTCATATCAAATCACCGTTTTATGTGCAGTTTTTATCACTAAATATCTTTAATTTCGTAATGAAAAAAATTACGAAAATCATATATCAATAAAATACAC